AGCCAAAGTTTTCATAAAACAATACGCCCATGAAAACTCGAATTTTTCATGTAAACCATGTCTTAGAACCCAAATGTTCTTCTTTGATGCTTATGGATATTTTATTTCCCATAGCACCAATCACAATCTTGTTCCCTCAATTCAATGGATTGTCGAACCGTAATAAGTTTCAATTCACTGATTTGGACGTTTCTTGACTGAAACCACTTTATGTGGATATAAGACATGAATCTCCACTTGACTATCAAGAAGTTGAGAAACCATTGAAGCCAACAAAGGCATGGAAGAGCTAAATAAGCCTCCGCCATGATCTTTATTCGAAGACTTATGCTCGAAGCATTACAAATGGAATTACTTCCCAAACAAGGATTACATGGCTTTTTGGCCCACTCCTACAGACCGTTTAATCATGAAAGACATTGCCTGAAGCACACCATGATTACGTCCATTGGCCCACTCCTACAGACCGTTTAATCATGAAAGACATTGCCTGAAGCACACCATGATTACGTCCATGAATAAGTACGATTTTGAAGTTTATAAAATCAGATAGAATTTTAACTGGAGAAGAATTTTCTCGTCCTTCCAAAAATGAGTTAGATTGCTTTTTCAAGAGAGATTAGATAGGATTGATATTCCTTTTCTTAAGGTTAACAACGATGTTGGAGACCTTTACCAATTGTGTCAATTGAAGGATTCAATTATTATGTGTCTTTTGTAGATGAAGCAACACGATTTGTATGGAATATGGATGTTTCCTCTGATAAATAAGTCAGAAATTTTTGGTGCATTTGTGAAATTTTGTGCTTATATCGATAATCTATTTCAAACTAGAAATAAAATTTTGGAGTCCAAAGATGGTGGTGAATATTTTAGCAGTGCTTTTAAAGATTATGTAGCTACTCATGAAATTATGCACTTTATCTCTTGTTCACACACACCTCATCAACAGTATGAATTAGTGGAGAGAAAGCATAGGCATTTTGCATAAATTGCCCTAATATTGTTATCTGCTGCAAAACTTCCTCAAAAGTTTTGATATCATTCATTTGTGTGGATTAATCTAACATGGGATGGTGATGTAGATTGAAGATGATGAAGAAGAGGACCCATGATCGTGTTTCTAAATTATGTGATTAGTGATTTGCAATAAGGGGTTTTTAATCATGGCGGGGGGAAGGAACAGGGACATTAAGCCCTTTTTGTTGAAAGTTGGGGTGGCTTTTGCTCTCTTTTACTGGATTTTTCTTTTCTTGGGTTTGTCTTCTCACCTTAACAGAGTTATCAATAGCGTTATCAATAGCATTGGGGAGAAAAAAGGGAAGAAAGAAAAGGAAGAAAAAAAGGGAAGAAAGAAAAGGGAGGAAAAGAAGAAGAAAGAAGTGGGAGAGAAGAAAGATGCAATAAGGAGAAACTGGCTTGAAGTTCGGCTTTCAATTTGGGCCTAAAGTTAGCTTGAAATGGGACTTCAAAAATAAATACTTAACATAAATAAATCAATAAAATTAATATATATTTAATTCGATTTGGTTCGGTTTCCTGACCACTAAAACCAAATTGAACCAAAAGAAGATTCAATTTGATTTTTGTAATTTAATTCAGTTTTTATTTTTATTTTTTTTGCTTCCATTTGGTGTTCGGTTTGGTTTTTCGGTTTTCAATTTTTCAAACCCTTCCCTAATAAGAAATACAGGACACAGCTGTTACGACCAAGTAGAGGTTGAAAGAAGAAAATAAAAAGATAAAGGCTCTATACACCAATATACTGTGTATAATAACTAAATATTGACTACCATAAAATAAAGTAATTAAAGACCTTTAATTTATGATATTGCTTTAAAACCAATCTAGGTTCAATTTAATTTCTATATTGAAAGCTGATATAATTTTTGTAAACGAGTGGCATTCTAAGAAAATCGGAACGATCGTCATTAATTTTAGTTGAACTCAATTAGGTGGTGAGTAAAAGACATATCAATGGCTAATAATATCGATATGCAACTAATATCAATGAGTATTGACGTGCATAGAAAATGAAAGAAATTAATTCAAGTTAGTTAACACTCAACAACCGCCACATGAGAGTTTGAATAATTAGTGGTATCAATCAATGCAACTTGATTAGGTGCAAAAGTCTACAAAAATTTTGCATGGCTTCCCTCGGTGGACCGTTATCCTACTCCAATAATTATTGAAAGTGAAACCCTTCAGGTAAAGGTTTGACCCTACACCATTTCATTTACTTATCCTTCTTTGTTAGTTTGAATACGGTATTTAGTCATTTAATTAGCTCTAGTATTTCAGTATTAGCAGTGACTGACTGCCAAACGTTTTTTTTTCTTGTCAAGTAAGATATATTTTATTACATTAAGAATTAGTACAAGATCCAAAGGGAACCAGGTAAACAACTATAGATAAAGTACAAGGTTCAAGCAAAATGAGAGCTACAACCTAAGATACAACTGGAGGCCCACACAGGCTTGGACCCGAAGGATGAAAAAACAAACAACAAAAAACTCTAATCTCCAGCAACATAAACCACACCGCCGCAACCGTTACATCCTCAGAGGAAGTCAAATTTCGAACCGAGAGAGTAGACACTAGATCCAAGTCCCCTTCACGAACCCCTGCAATATCTACAAACAAAGTATCTTATGGGTAGAGAGTGAGGCTAAGGGAGCATATAAAACACCCAACACTTGGTCTCGATGAGGGTCAGGGTTGCCGGTTGGGGGAAGGAAAGTGAGAGAGGAAAGTGGATCTGATATTTAATTTCTAATTGCAGCCTGCTGATCCAAGAACATGGTGGGATGGGAATGGAGTATCACAATTAGAGAAGAGGGATGAACAAAAATTAAAAGACAGAAAGCAGTACAACAGGTGAAAAACGCTGAATAAGGGGCATAAAGCCCAAATTTGAGATAAGCTCAAGTGATAGTTGAGACTCGGCTCAAGAAAAACTGGGATAAAACTCAGGGAGAACCAAGAATGAAATCACATGAAGGAGACTAGAAAGGGGGAAGGAAGAAGAGGTGAATGCAGGGAGGGGTAATGTGGCAAAGGAGATGAGAGGGGAGGAAAAAAAGGAAGGGGCAAAGAAGAAAGGAAGGAAGGAGGAGGAAAATGAGGGGTAGTGGGCTACCGCCTTCCCCGAGCAAGAGTAAAGGACGGCTGCTAAAACTTGAAACGGAGGGGGGGAGGCTTCTGGGTTTGGGATTTTGGAGACAGATAGAGAGAGAAACCGCGTATGATTAAAATGATTGCCATACGTTTATGTTTGTAAATTAATGAGTCTTCCGACTAGTAATGCTTAATTATTGATCTCTAAACTAGACTGCAACCTGATTAAGGCACATTTAGAAATGTTTTTTTTTAATAACTAAAAGTGATTTTAGTGAAAAAGTTTTTGAAATCAATTCTTAGCAAAAATACAAATAAAAGCACTTGAAGTGCTTCTTGCATTCCTACAAGAAGCCCCAGCTTTTGGAGTAAAATCATTTTATCTAAAAGCGTTTTTAACCATTTTAAAAGCACATCTAAATGAGTCATTAGTTTGTTCCTCTTATCCAACACTTAATCATCATTCTAGTCACTAATTTTTCCATGTTGTTGGTTTCTTAATCATCACAATCATTCTTAATCATCAAAAAATATATATATATATATATATATATATATATATATATATCTCTCTCTCTCTTGGTTCCTTAATTTACAATTCACCCAACTAGATAAAGCAAGTTTAATCATACTCAAATTAATGATTATTGTACATTAATAGAGCAGAGGAATAAAATAACATTTTTGTAGTCTTTTCTATACCGGCGGCTTTCATGTTTTATTCTTTAATTTTTCTTTGTCCCTTACTTATTTCTTGGAAGCTTCTGTTTCTGTTAGGAATAGGAAGTCGCCATTAAATTTTAACGCCAAGTTTGACCACAAAATTAAATAATTGGTCCTTGGAAAGCAATCAAACAAAAGAATCGGTCGGCCAACTTTTCATATAAAATATCTGCATAAGGTGTTACCTTATCCGTGACTTGTGGACTTTGTTGGCATCACTGTCTCGACCTAATTTATTTGTGAAATTAACAAAATATATAACACATTTTAATACAAGACAATGTGTAGCCCGTGATAAGTCATCCAAGAAATTTTGTTTTACAAATTTTAGAACTTTAAAACCTAATATTATATTACAATTCTTAATACTCTTAAATTTTCTATGCAAATCGAGCAATAGAATTATTACAGTACGTAGATTAAAGAATTCGGAGGATGCAAATGATGAATACTTAAATGTGGAATAAAACAATGTCCGTGACATACCATTGTGTTAGACCTTGTTACGGCAATATGCATGATAATTCTAAAAACGTCGCAGATCTAATTATGGGCATGCATGCATTGTTAGACTTTATACATTTCATAAACAACTAAAAACACTAACTTGAAAGAATCCATGCATGGATGGTAAAGACAAATCATCTTGACAGAACTGTGTGAAATAGGCTAAACCATGAACGGACTTCTCCTACAGTGGAAATCATATTGGAATCTTGCGGAATAATTTGTTGGTTGACCAAAGCCTTCTGCACACCCAACACTCCTTTAAACTCGAACTAATGGGGCATTCATATGGGTTTATGTGTATTGTGAGCAGAGACATTACCCTTGTATTTATATGGACTTAACCCTAATGAATCTTCCCATAATAATGTTATTAGGATTCCTTGCAGTCCAAGGATAATTGATACACCAAATCTCATCCCAAATAGGAAAGAATTAGGAGCCCTTATTCTCCAAGGAAATCCGGAATATATTAACTTTACTTGGGGTACAAGCTATGGCTATTAACTAAATTTTAATCTTATTTATATTCCAAACAATTTTTAAATTAATTGTGTAGACCTAATAGTCATTGGATTATGAACATGCATCTGATCAGAACGTAAAGAGTTAATTACGGGCATGCATACATCTAATCAAAACATAAAGAGTTCAAGTGAGAATGTGTTGTATATAATAAACCAAGTTCTGAGAACTGAGGATTAGCAATCGATCTGCTGATAGAACTATCAAATAAACGTTGGAGTGGAAATTTCGTAAAAGCTTAAAAAAGCTATAATCGGCCGGCCCCAAAAAAGAGAGTATCAAAGAAAGTAGGCATGCATGCATGCATCAGCTAGCTTGGTGTTTGCCAACAGCCGGCTCTCTGACAATCAACAAGTCATCAAAAAGCTTCAAAATTTCCAAAAAGCAAAGAGTTGCATAGGTTAGCTATATATACACATATAGGGTTTAGAACGAAAAAACTAGGTGCGTACCTTAACTCTTACTTCGTGAAGAAAGATGAATTTGTACTGGAGAGATAGATCGAGCTGCATGCGTCTCGTTAGGGTTAGAATTTTTGAAGAAGTATTGCTTGATTTCAGGATAATTGAAAAATCCTAGCTTCCGCAATGAAACTCATATAGACCCCATGTCGTATGGAGGAGTTCTAGCTCAATTGCACACATATGATGTATGCTGTTTTGACTTTTCTATATGTTGCTTTTAGGACATATGTGCTCGTCATAATGAAAAATAGAAAATTTAAACTATGTATTGGCACATGTAACAATAGTAAAGTTGAATTTTAGAAGGATAAAGAATGAATGAGAAGGCTAGGGGAACTTTTCCTTTTTGAATGAGAAAGAGCTTCACTATTTCGTAAGGTTTTCTCATCGATATTGTCATTCCCCAATCTATTGGATATATATACCCCTGATCAAAATTTTAATTTGAAAAAAAAAAATATTTCACTATCATGAAATGACTATTGAGGCATGGGTTCCAATATTGGGTAGCAACAAACCAAAAACTATACTATCCCTCTCTCTGATCGACGACCACCCTCTCCAAATATTGTTCATTAGCCAACAATTGAAAACCATCAAAATATTCGGCTGCTTTGCGCTGAAAATGGAGCCCATCACAAGTCCAATATCCCTATAGGGACCAATTGAAAATTGTGCACATATTAGTAGCTATTAGTGCAATAACCCTAAGTGAATTTTATAAATACATACAATACAACCAATTCAATTTGCAATCAATATGTGACTTTGCATTATTTATTTATTTATTTATTTATTTATTGATGATTATTAGTTACTATGCAAAGGCAAGTTTTATTAAGGCGGGACTTATAACAATTATAACTTATTATAATATGAAGTTTATTCTTCTTTTATAAGCATGTAATTGATCTACGTTTGAACAGGAATTTTTTATTATTACATAAAGATTATTCCTTTATAGATCGTATCACTATAGAAAGGTTTTACTGTATAAAAATTATGTTATTTATTTTATTTTCTATAAATGATTAATTATAAATTAAGTACTCTATAGGGCTCTAAGTTATCTACTTAAGCACAATATATTTTAGAGTTTAAGTGTACTTTTAGATTAATAATATTGAATATTGCTCATTGATCTGTAAGAGTTTCTTAGTATATCCCTTTCTCATGTGTCTGTTCATTACCACACTGTCAACACCTGACATGAATGTAAACTTATAATTCAAACAAGTACTCTAATTTCAAGAACAAATAAAAAAAATTCAGTTGAAACTTGGATTAACAATCATGTGCGTATTATTGTCATCCCTTACTAAGAAGTGAACCTTAATTAAAAACACGATTTTAAGTTAATTCCCAATCCATTCTTACTAGATTTATTTTAAGGGCTGATTTGATATTGAGGATTGGATTTGGGATTGATATTTCATTATATTTAAGTTACGCCAAAAGAAGAAATGACAATTTTGTGGCAAGGTTAGAGGTATGAGATGAATTACTCATCCTCTCCAAAATGGGAGAATTAGAAGTGACAAGTTTACTTCATGTCTAATCCTTTTTTAATCCCCTTCAAAAGAAAAATCATTATCTTTTACTTTCAAAATACCTTGAATTTAGAGAATTATCGATTTCAATACAATCTCTATACTAAACAAGGCTAAGAGTTAGTTTAACTTTCCCTTGTCATTTGGTTCAAAACCCGAAACAGGTAGAAAATTTTGATACCGATCACCATGGCTTTAATTATCATTTGACAATAATTAAGTGGGTCGCTTAGCTTTAGCATTAATGTACATGGTTAAATGTGGCTGTATAAGATAAGAGCATCTCCACCAGTCTCTTTATTGCTCTTGCAATTGGGTTAAACTGCCTCCAACCCAGAAAAACCTCCTCCACCGGTCTTAAAATTGGAGAGGCAAATGGGGCAAGGGCTTGTGCCCTTGCAACAATTACACGACCTTGCGGCCTTTTCAATCAGCACGGGGGTGAGGGAGGGCCCCACCCATGTGATAGCCCACCCCAGCCCACCCACATGACATCACAATTGTAATGCTTGCAAACCGTTGGATTTCCAACAGTCCTTTCATCTGGACTGTTGGATTTTCAACGTTAAAAAAATTGAAGATACAAAAAGAAAATAAAAAAATACCATAAAATTTGAAAAAAATACAAATGTTTTTTAACAACGCACTTAAAATTAGGTACACTTGAGAAACTTAAAAAGTTCAACCATCTTCTTCAAAAAACAAACTTACTAAGTACACAAGGTATAAAACATAAACAAATATACATTTTTGAGTAGTATTCATTCTTGTCCTTGCCCTTTCTCCTTCCTTACAAATGGACTTGCACAAAGATAATTACTGTTTAGAGTGATGGTAAGTGCAATTTCATGCCACTCAATACTTCGGTCTGGTGGTATTCCTCTTCACTTATAAGTGAGAGGTCATAGGTTCGAATCTCATGGATAACGAATTCTATACCAAATTAGGTTGTCCATTGTGTGGCTTAGTCGAACTTCCTATCTCTTGACGTAAAATATATCGTTGTACTAAAATAAACTGCACCTTTGCCCTTTACTAACAGGTAGAGATGCTCTAATACATCTTTCCGTTTACAAATATTTTATGATATAGAGGCTGATCGTTTTGTATTGGTTTGATTGAAGATAGTTAGGTAGCAACCATGTTGTTGCGATACTTTTGGTGGTGAAGATTGTCGGCTTTGCGATGCGAGATTAAACACATGCAAATTAAAACCGTATCATGCGTGTGTAACGAGGCTAATAAGAAATTATAGATTCTCTGTAGTTGAATATACAAATCATATATATGACATGTGACCCATTGACAGGTAATGAATTATTTAAAACTGATTTTTAGTATTACCTATGTATCAACTTGAATTATATTAATTATTATAATATAACTGAATTATTACATGATGACCTGGTTCTTCCTATCATAAGCGATAAATCCATTACAGTTTCAATTATGGTCAGTGAATAATATTTAATAGTAGCACGTGATGCTTTATTTAGTCGGATTAACAAGGCTACACATGCAGTTGTGTCCTACTCGTTCAAAAGGGTATTGTCCCTGAATTTTTATTCAACATTTTTGCAGAGGATGTAAAAACGATCTGTCACTGATACGGAAAGGGGGTGTGGGGAATACACTAATCGTGTTGAAGATTGTCCATTTGCATTCTTCCTTGTACAAATTGTAAAATAAAAGCGACTCGATTGTACATTACATGAATGAATATATTGGATTTGGATTAACTATATATTTGACATGAATGTTTACATAAGAATTTTTCTAGCGTAAATAATAAACGTGTAGAATTTGTTATGTCATACACAAGTAAGCTAGCAATGTTTGAGAATTTGACACGACAAATTTGTAAATCGTGAAAGTGACTTTATTTTATTTTGTGTCATAACTTAAAAAGTTTGACTTATTTTTTAATTTATTTTTTTCTAAATGCTTTTACTTTGAACTCTTGTATAATTATAGGTTTAACTATAATCAACACGAACAAGCATTATAAATTTTGAATTAGAAATAATTTCCGAAATTTGATGTACTTCTTCAAGTGTGGGACACATTTTCATGTTTGCCGAATCTAAAAACCATCGTCTTTGCATCCCAACACAGACCATTCTGACAGTTTTTCAAGCCTTCCCTCATGCCTTTGGCGCCTCTGATGCATTTGATCAAGACAAAGCTCGAAACGTCTAGGCTTCAGATTGATCTTAATCACATTGGGATGGTACGGGGGAGCAAGTCCAACACAAGGTGTTCCACGTCCAAGTTCTCCCACTCCTTTGAGTATAGTTTGAGGTATAAATATCGCTTGTACTAAAAAAAATTTTAGTATTTTAAGTTTTTTTTAATAAATAAATAAAACATGCAAGTTAATTCCCCTCTCATAAAAGCAATATTTGTCGGTACACAGCATGATTAGCATAGTGGTGGTTAACTAATGTTGACCACGAACGCGTACGTGAACGCATGATAACAAAGAAATAGTCACCCCAAACTATAGATAGCAGAGTCGTCGGATTGGGACCAAGCTAAATTTTGCGTGTGACTGTCAAACATCATCAGTCGGAACGGCCTTGGACTCAACTTTGACGGCCATGCATTTCCTAACTTTTTCAGTTCTTTAACAACATATTTTGACCCCCAAAAAAATATGTGGATACCTTAACTTAAATAAATAATAATTTAATTATTTGAGTTAAAAAAAAATTAATTATTTAGCAGTATTTAACAGTACGAAAAACGTGGATTTGACTATATCTAGAGATTTGGACTTGCGGGGACTTCAACCATGCATGCATGTGAATGCAAACACTGTTTCATACCAGTTATATATTCTAAATACTAAATATTATTTTGTATTACAAACAGATAAAATGTACGAGAGAAAATATATTTAGAGTGGCAATCACATTTTTAATTAACATGTATTTTTTTTTAAATATGACATTCTTAAAGAAGTTAAAGCTTCACCATAAATAAATTGGCAACATGAAAAATAATCTAATTATCTTTAAGCACGTATAATATTTCTTCTTTTCTCAATGTGAGATTAATGCTCTCAAACAGTCTCTGTCCCTAAAACCCGTGCATGCATGCCATATTTGAATGGGGAACGTTGAAGCCACCACTTGCAACTTGAAAACAAAGCAAGCTGCAGGGAAAATCTGCACCTGGACAAATACGGTACCAACTAAGGGTAACAAGTTGCTGGACGAATCTTAGGCCATCTCCAATCGAAAGAGAGCCAAATGGTCATGTTTAGCCATAAAGTTCTGCAAGAAATTATTTTTTAATGAACAACGTCAGACCGTATTTTATACCATTTACAACCGAAGGGTCAAAGGGCCATAGGCCAAAACATAACTCTTTGACAAAAAAAAAACTCATCTCCAACCGAATGGGGCTATTTTTTAAAAGGAAAACTAATGAAAATGATTTGAAAACTTTGAGTTTTAACGAAAACAACAAAATAAAGGGGAAAGTGAATAGTACCATGATTGACTTCTTAGTGTAAAAATATGATTTTTCGTTAAAGTGAATAGTACATGAGTTTTTCGTTAAAGTTCACATTTTTTAATATGTTCTATAACGAAAAGAACCTACGAACAATAACCAACTAATAATAAAAAAGGTTGTACCTAAATCAACGTCACTAAATAGTTTAATGTTAGATTTATCAAATAAATTAAATATAATTACGTATATATGCAACATTCCACTGGACCAACCCCAACGATATTTGGCTCTTGTATGCGTCCTGGTTGTATTATTATTTTTTTTAAGCCCAAATTAAGGTTT